GAATTGTCCACCACCAAATCTGCTGCCATCTTCCCATGTTATCGCCGCGTACGTCTTCGTTGGAGACGAGGCATTTCAACTGAGGCCGGACTTTCTGAGGCCCTGTCCTGGTTGATACCTCAGCGATTATCTAAAAATATTCAAATATCGACTGTGTGGAGCGAGGTTACCTTTAGAATTGTTGCACTTGCACTATAATAACAAAAATCACAGTGTTGTCTTTGTCCCATTTCCAGAAGGCGCGTCGAGAACGCATTCGAAATTTTGGCTACTAGATTTTGCATCTTCCGCAGGCCAATCGACCTCCTCCCAGACCACGCCACTGGAGTCGCCCGCGCAGCTTGTGTACTGCACAACTACCTACAAGACGACAAGTTGCACATGCTAAATGCCTATGCTGATTGAAGTCGACCACTTCGGCAACATCGTTGATGGCCAGTGGCGCAAGGAGGTCTCTCAACAGACAAACGCGTTGCTCCACCTACTGAGGCTGAGATCGCGGCACGTCGACCAATCTGCCCGAAAATGCAACACAGTGGCCACCGCAGTGAGAGACCTACACTGCAGGTACTTTGTAAAGGAAGCTGCAACGTCATGGCAAAGGAACCACGCTGGACTGAAATTCTAAGTAGTGTCAGTGGTATGGTGACAAATCACTAAGTTTTCAAGTTTTTGTGGGTGAGGATCGTCTGACCTATTTTCGGTGGAACAGGGAGCTGAGGCCACCATTACAACAATATTCTGCCGCTGCGAGTTAGCTATTTTTGAACGGGCGCTCTGGTGTGAGTCGGCTTTTGTGTGAGGCCCACTAGGACTTTGAACAGAGAAAGTGAAACATCTGTATTGTACCAAGACCGGTGCTACTGGAGAGGGATGAAATTAGGGACTCTCCCTGTTCATGTACGGTCTTAATGTGCTTAACTAGGAGTGGACGTAATTTATACTCTGCCGCCCGTGGAGGAGTGACCCAGTCCTCTCAGATCCTTGGTTGGATAAGTCGGACGAGTGTTCTCAGTGTACGTTGTGCAAGATCCTGAACTGAGGCGCAGTCCTTAAAGGGAAGCCGGAACACTTCTTTAAAAAAAATGAGATAGAGCTTGATTCTAGCGTAGTTTTATCTTGTGGATATGAATATCGCGTTAGTTTTCCCCGAAGATGTAACTAAACGCGAGAAAACAAAAAACAAAAAAAAAAAAACCGACCCGTCGTGGCGTCATAAGAGGGCCTTTCGGCTGCAAAGCTCCAGTCGCTCGAGGGCCTCGCATGCAATCCCTAGCTTGCCAGGTGTATTCCCCCGTACTGGCACAAGTGTTAACATCTTTTTCTGCCCTTCTTAAAAAAAATTAGCAAGAGTACGCATGCATAGCTTTGATGGACGCTGCTGGAAGGAAGATTCCAAAAACTCCTTTTGTGACGTCGCGCTCCTGGAAGGTGGGCCTTCGGCGGTACTTTGAAAATGATTTTCTGCAACCTCCATGCACCAAATTATAAAATAAATAATTTCGATATTCGAGATCCTGGAGGTGAAATGAAGACGATTTATAAGTGTTTCCTCAAATACAAAACCGCTTCAGCTTCCCTTTAACTTGGTGTGTGAGAGTTATTTGAGTAGTCTCCGAAGTATGTGCATTTAGGTGGTTCAGGTAGATCTGCAACGTGCTTGAGGTAGTGTAGTGTTGAGAGGGAGTGTGTTTGTACACGCCGAAGAAGCGTAGCATCTGCCTTCTCTGCAGTGTGGAGTGGGCTGTAGGGGGTTATGTGGTTACGACGAAACTATAAGACAAGGCACGGCGAGTTTCCTTCTCGTCGTGCCTTGCGTTCTAGCTTCCGGGTCACGTAGGGGTCGATTTCGTCTGGCCATTGACAAGGGGTACTCGGATCGTCGGCGGCGTGTGTTGATGAGTGGGCGGCCTTGCAGCACCGGCGCACAATGCAAATCTTTGCCTTTTGGCGCCGGTGCACCCCATAAGTCCAGCAACGTGTTATGTTCCCATTTGTTCATATTTGATGTCTGCCAAAAAGGTGAGCCTGCACATTATTTTTTTCTTTTCTAATTGCAACTTTCTTTTGTCTTTTGTTAGCTGTTATCTTTCAACATTTAAAGTGAGTAATAAAAAATTTATTCCTGGATCACCCCTGCCTCATGTCACCTCCCTAGTTCATTTCCACCCCGGACCTGTTGCCTGCAAATCAGTCAATTTTTTTGTAGAAAATGGTTGTGGTCTTTGCCTCTTTTACGGACCAACTGGCGGACACTTTTTGTGGCAGGTATAGCCCAAAGTAGATCGACACAGTACCGGCTGATTCCCCCCAGGGTGAGGTGCTATTCTACTGTTTTCGTTAAACCTACGGTGCCCAATCGGGTGTTTACTTAACACAGAATGCGTTTTATCGGCCGATTTTCATGAAATGAACGACACGCTGGACCACACACACAACGTGTGTGTGTGTGAACGTGCAAAACATTCTATACTTCCTCACTGTAGGTCAGCATGAACAAGCTTACGTAAATGTTTAGCTTTTTTTAATTCAAAACAATATTAGCGATTGCGAACATGACAAAAGCACTGAAGATAAAGGAAACGACATAAATTAAAAAAAAACCCACAGGTTTCCAGATGCAAAAAAAATCCAAAACAATCATGTTGGTGAAATAATCGCAAACTGTGCACGAAACCAAATTGTCACAGGATTTCAATGACAAATGTCACGCGTGGCACGTGTGACATTTGCGTAGGGGACTCATTGAATAGTAGAAAGACCCTTCCTCGAAATCTCTTTGCAGATCTGACACGAAGGTCTGTCCAGAAGCCGAGAATCGCTGATTGGCACCTTGTAATTAAAGCCATTTTACACGCGTGTCACTCGCGTAGCACGCGTCCAGCGCGTTTACATAACAATAGTTGTTGGCACTTCGTAAAAATGTGAAGCTCGATTTTTATCAAATGGCTTTAATAACAAGGTGCTGTTCAGCATTTCTCGAATTCTAGACAGACCTTTGCGTCATCTGCAAGCAGATTTCAAGAAAGGATATTTCTACTATGCCACGAGTCCCTTACGCAAAGTGATCGAACAGAAGCGTCAATTGTTATCGCCTGCAATTTTACAAAGGAAGCAATCACAACCCTCGCGTGGTACGCAAACGCCAGTTCGTTTTAATGCCGAACTGAAGCTTACATCCCCCGGCAAAAAATATTCACATGGAAGAAGCACATTCGCCGCCCCACCCCCGCAGCGAATTTCAAAGACGACGACGTAGGTGACGCATTTTTCGCATTTTTGATTCCCACGTTGCTATGACCACCGTGACGTCTCTCACAAGCCGCGTTTGATTGGCTGTCCGTCCCCTTCGCGAGTGCGGCCGTTCGCAAGGAAAGTTTGGCAAAATACGGAGTTGCGATTTAGTCGAATTCGCACCGCAACTGCGTTGCGCCGCAGGAACGACGTCGCAATTGCGAAATCGCAGGCAAATTCGCATTATGTGAATCAGGCATTACACGGGCACACTTAACTGCAGTTACGCTAAACCGCAATTAGCGCACAATACTTGCCGACAACATTCCGCGGTGATGCAGTCAGAGCTATGGGCGAACGTGCGCTTGGGCATCTTGAGCACCCACCAAAGCAGTGCACGCGCTCTCTTCACTTCTTTCGAAATAGCTGTCCGAGGGTATAGTGCGGCATATGTGCTGCCACGTAACCGCAGTTAAAGCTGAGTTAGCCGCGGTTAAGTGTGCCCGTGTAACAGGGGTATTAGAACTTCAATTTTGACGATGTTGGCAGTGCTGCTTTGAGAGCGCTATGATTTTAGGCTTCCACCGTGCCCATTACAAACACCATCGAACTTGTTGTTCACAAGGCAATGACGTCACGAAGGTAACCAAGCGAGGGCGCCACCGAAACATCTCGCCGCTAATAGCCACCATAACCGTGTCTTAATAATAGAGAGTTTTAGTAGATCGTTCCCATCACTCCGATAGCGATACCCGATACTCCGCCGCCGCCTCCCTTGTGCATGCATAGTATCGTTATCGGGGCTATCGGAGGTATCGGAACGATCTACTAAAACTCTCTAGTATTTTTGTTTTCTTACAATGTTACGAATCAAGTTTATGTAAGTGCATCTGTTACCGCGTTGTCTTCCGAATACCTTGTACTTGTGTTGCTTTGTATTTCCACGATTTTCCACTTTGCCATGCTCCCCAAGATGAGATGAGCAGTATTGGTAAATGAATAAATAAATAATTACTCAAATAAATACATTTTAATGATACAGTTATGAAGCATCTTCAGAAAACAAGCTGAGAATCTTGGTATTGACTAATAAAAAGTAAGGGGGAATTTGATATTTTTATTTGTTACTACGTCTATAGCTCTATGAATTCCTTCAAATATGTAAAAAAAGAACGTCATAATAATGGTGAGAAAATATCGCCATTAATCTTTTGCTAAAAACAAACAAGGTCAAAATATGAAAGCTCTCACGTTCTTTGAACGCGGCCATGCAGTGAGCAGGACGACGATTGCTTTGCAGCGCGTTTTTCATCTACATGATCACGCAGTAACTTCATATGACAACCTTTAGGGCAGCTCCGGTGTACAAAACAAACAAAGGTACGAAGAAGATCGAAGAAGAATCGTCCTACGCAACAAGACACCACGAAAAGCAAGCCCAAGGAATGGACTTACAAAGAGTATGGGGGGGCAAAGCTGTTACTGCGTTCGCAGAATTAATGCCTTCCCTCATAACAACTTCGGCTTCTCTTATAATTAAAACAATTGGATAATATTGTAAAATACTCCGGGTCAAGAGACTCTTTTCAAAAGTGCGCGCCGTAGGTAAACTTTGCCAATTAACCCAGTCCGTGATTGTATCGGCACGTAACCTGATCATCAGCTTACCCTATATTATACGCATGCATTTTGACCCCACCCCCCTCCTCACCCGCCAAAGGATAAAAAATGCTTCGAGAATGGTCTATTGGGCCACACGAATAATCTGGGTGTGCTTTGCTTTTTAATGTCCCGGCTTTAGTGAGAATAGAAAATCAGTGAGGTGACAAATGCGGTTAGGCGCAAGTTTTTTTGCACTCCTCCATCGACGTGGTCAGCGAGCTGGGGCACAGGTAAGCGTCCCAAAATTTGCACGTCTCGTCTACTGGGTCGTAGAAAAAGGATAGGGCGTCGTCCGGCCATATGCATTCGCGAGATCGGTGGGTGGAACACCGCCTGTCCCTCTTGCCATCTGGAAGGAAAAAGGCCTCATTAGGATCGCGTTGAGTACGAGGGAACGCCGATCCTAAACCAACAGAACAATCTTTATCAGCATTCCACGCGCAAGTGAAACCAACGGAAGCTCGGTGATCGTCCCGGAGGTCGGGCGTCTGCTGGGCTTCTTATTGCATTCAGTCGATGTATTGGTCCTTGCTTTCGTGCACTTTTAAATAAGTTTGAATAATGGGAACGAGTCATCTGAGCGTGGGACACCACGCTTGATAAACTAGACTCTTAAAATGTTCTCACATGAAGTGGCTTCTCAGGAGACCTCTCGGGTCTGCATGTGCTGCTACTGTGCAACGAGCAAGCGCTCTCAAGATAAAAAAAGAACATAGCGCCTTGGACTCTGTTTAAACCAACACTCGGAAGAGTTAGAAAGCCCGTGAGACGCTCACTTCCGGGACAAGCCACTTAGCTCCGGTGGCTTCACACCTTTTTGCTCAATGCTCCATCCGGCCCCCTAATAGAGACCATTGGGTTCCTTACATATGTGGCGCCTTTATATAACTGTCGTCTACAGGAAGAATGCGACAGTGCACGAAAGAGCTTGCGCCGTCTCGTGCTCTACCCGCGGATGCAAGCAGCAGGGTTATCGCTCAAGCAGAACGATCAAAGTTCTCGCGATGCATGGCGGCAGCGACGGCGCATCGAAAGAGGCTGGTGTGGTTGGTCTATTGTTACTAGCTAGTTTTTGTAAATCGTAAGCAGGGGCTTTAAGTGTCTGTACTCCGTTCCACATTAAAGTCCGGTCATAGACAACGTTACGACTCGATGCATCCATCAAGCAGCGCACAAAATGCATCGTCATGGCGCTCGTTACGGTGCGTTTGCTATCACTATACCAATCAGTCTGATGGGCACATTAAGCCGTCTGCTGTGCACGCGAGGCCACAGATAAGTAATTCAAGCTGGCCTGGTGTAGCCATTTGTCTTCTTGGTGTGGCAACCAGGCTACCTGGTGTGGCCATCAGACCCTTTGATGGGCACGCCAGGTTGGTATGCTGTTTAGATAAGCCTGGCTGGTGGACACACCATCAGATTTTCTGATGTTACACCTGGACTCTCTTATGTAATTTTTATTAAGCGGCCGAGCGCCGTAATGATTTACCTTTGGCGCTGCTTGAGTGACTTCATCGGCTTCAGCTTTGGATACGGTACGACGGGGTAAAATGAAGTATAAAGAGAGCTTGGACCGGAACTTTGAGTACGGATTGAGCATGGCCGCGCACGGCCCGGAATCCGAGGTAAAAGGTGTACTAACAGTCCATATAAGACTTTTCGGAAAGTTGCAGGAGACCATGCGTCTCTTCCGCATCGCACTCAGCTGCAAGAGGAGTTGTGGGGATTTCGCAACGTGCCCTCGAGCGTACTCGGACGCTTCGTATATATTCTGAACGCTGCACAATCCGTTTTCTCTGAGCATTGAGAGTTCAGGAACCTCGAGGAATAAAATGAACGCAAAAAAGGCCATCACCTGTCTTGGTTTGTTTCTTTACTGTGCCTTTGCGTTCTGAAATTACACAATGCTAAACGAACATAAACTTCGTAGTAAAAATAAATAAATAATAATAAAAAAAACCTGCGATGAGGAAAAAAATAGGACAAGTTTCAAAGTTTGTTTTTTATTTCTCACTATGGATCGTTCACCAGCTTGCCTGCGCAGCAACCCTTAATTATTTCATGTACTTCGTATTTTATTTCTGGGTAGTCTTTCCTGCGCCGTACATTGCATCGTCATAATGGTTCGAGCAGCCGGCTGGGGAGCCACATATTTCTAGTATGGTCTATTGAAGAGGTTTAGCAGAACGTTACTGCGGGTTACTGCGGGTACGGAAATGTTCCTGATGTGCGCTGAAAATAGATGTTCGAATTCGCGGTGCAAGCTTCTTCACGTCATGCCGCTCCAGGCGGTAGCTTGGGGTACCGCTATGCTAAATATCTCCAAGGGGAATGTGACGTAAGGTATTTAAAGACGTGCAATATGTTCTCAGCGGAAAACGTTGGAGATAATGTTGACTTATACTACTGACTATAAATGTTTTTGATACATGAACCTCTTATTTTACTTATAGAAATTGCTCCGTGAAGCTTAAAATTGGCAGCGGGCCGTTTTTTCTTGTCGTCATGTAGATCCAGAGTTGCGCTGGCGTGCGGGTAATGCGTTCAGCCACACCTGAGACCGAACGCTTGGGTCGAAAAAACACAAAACACGATTTTGCCAGTCATTCTTGCTCCCAGGTTAAGGCGTGAATGCAATTATCCACAGCTTCACCGAGCGGACGTCACATTGGAGTTCGTTTCCTTCCATTGGCATTTCAAAAATGTGTTAGACCCTACACTCTAAGAAATGCCTGCACATCTACTTACCCGCAAAACACCCAAAGAGGCAATCTCTGCGATCTACGAAATCAGTTAAGCGAATGATGAGGTGCAACATCTGTTTAGACCTAAAATTAAAGTCTGCAATGTGGCATTACGCAACGCAAAGCGTCAGGCTTGCATTGCGTAATGCCACAGCGAAGACTTAATTTTGAGGTCTAAACAGATGTTCCGCCTCATCATTCGCTGAGCTGATTTCGTAGATCGCAGAGATTGCCTCTTTGAGTGTTTTACGGGTAACTAGACACGAAGGCATTTCTTAGAGTGTAGGAAACAATATGTCTAGAATGACTTAAGTACGATTTACCTGGCGCATAACTGGGATATTCATGGAGACACATATACAAGTATCGAGGAACCTATACAGTCATTACGCGTTTTGTTAACTTTGGCTTGCGAATCACTGATTTTAGTATTATGATGGGGTCTTTGACGTCGCCATCACGCCACCATCACCATCTCCAATAACTCCCGCGGCCCGTCTGGGCAGCGCGGTTAAGTTCGAAACATAAGCATGGTTGAGGCGATATTGCGTGCAAGTTCGTCTGCTCTTGGTGCACCTCGCGCGTTTGTGTATCCCCAAACGGCGCTCACGTCCTTCTGCCCCCCCCCCCCCCCCCCCTTCGACCCGAACAATGGTGGTACGCACTTGGCTGCCTTGTTATCGCGGGTTCCCTGCACCTTCTAAATGTCGCTCTTAGAACGGCGAGCACCTCCCTGCGTTCCCATGAGCCAAAGACGCAATTTGGACCACTTTCTCGCCGTATAGTCAATGACAGCCTAAGAAATGCAGGGTGTGGCAATGGCCCGCATCTTGTTATCACTCCACAACCGATGATGTAGCTGCATTAGCTGGTAAGAACGGCGAAAAGCGAATCACGCAGCACGAAGCGTGAGCTTGACAAGCCACGCCCTGAGTTCTTAAGATGCGCCAGAAGCTCCTCCCACACCCTCATTACCACCAGGCACTGTCCCTCCGCGATGCGCAAATAGTCCGCTGCCAAGGCACACGTCGCTCTGGCGTCATATAAAAAGGTTGGTTCACGCACTTGGGTGGAGTTCGTCGAGTGCGACAGCAACGGCTTGCGACGCACCGGTTGCTATGCAACAGCTGCGTCGCAGGCCACTGCAGTTGCACTCGACCGGACTCTACGCAAGTGTGTCAATCGACCATAACTCGTAATGATGATACTGTCCCTGGTTGGTCCTGTGAAAGATTCAATGCCGTGGCTGGTGAGTGGCGGTGTTTATTTGGCGCATCCTCAACATTCCCACGGCCATATTCATGGAGCCTCTGCCTTCCTCACATAATGTGGTGGAGGTCTTGCGAGGTTCCATCGCTATACATGCTCCTAGTTGCTTGTACATGTCTTGAGACATCACACACACGTATTGTGCCTTAGCGTCGCGAGAAAGTGTCCACGTTCAAGACGAGGAACGCAAAACCAGCTGAATATGAATGAGGTACCTGGGACGCAGGTTGCGATGCAGGCTCGCTTGGTCCGAAATCCCTCGCTGACGCAGACCTGGGTAGGCACGCTGGCGCACTTGGAGTCCTGCGTCCAGATCCAGCCCAGCTTTCTGGAATGGTCTCCGCAAGGACACACCTTCAGCTCGGCCGCACACGTCGAAACCAGTGGCGGGTCACCTGCCGAATCGGAGGTGTAAGCGCGAAACACACGTGAACAAAAACTGCGCCGCATAGCGCCGAGTGGGGCAGTGTGGCATTCGGTCACGTCCTAGCGTCAGCGGTGGTGGCTATGGTTACACCATTTGGCATCGCAGCCGAATCGAATACTTAAAATGGCTGTCACTAGCGAAATTTGTTAGAATATGACACACTTTCCGAGCGAATTTTCCACACTTTTCGTCTCAGACCGTGCGCTGCAACCAACGAAGCAGGCTGCACGCATCCCTCATACATATACCTACCTCAATTATGCACGCATAAAGTCTTGCGCCCAAAGGATGGGATATATTAGCTCCTGAACGGCAAATACAGTTACCAAGTTCAATATGTGTTTTGTATTTTGTTTCTGCAAACTACTGTAGGAGAACTCATAACCACGTGAGAAGGCGTGTAGTCTTTTTCCCACAGTGTTCGTTTGCCGCAGTGTCGATGTTTTTTCTCCGATGTCTCGGTCAGGTTTTGTGTTTTATATCTTGTATCTGCTGATTGTTGCAAGGGGGTTGATGGCCACGTCAAAAGACTTTGAGTGTTCTTTTGCCACAGCCACCTAGACACAAGTTTGTCTGAAATAAAACTATTATAACAATATTGTAGTAATGTCACAACAGAAGTCGTTGGGCGGTCACAAGATGCCCGTCCGCGGGAAGTAGATAGATGAGAAAATGGTGTGAACTGGTTTTAAAGGCCAAAGGAGACTTCATGAACGTTGATAAAAAATATTCATAGAAGTTCCACAGCAGTAAGAAAGCAGTTCATGAAAGAAACGTTTACGCAGTACAAGGCGGTGCAAAGTTCACTATCGTATCGCAATTTCGACAACACATTTCTTTTTCGTCGCACCCGTGTCTTACCATAGCAGGCCTTTTGGCACTGAGACTCTGATGTGAACCTGGCGCGTTTTCCGCCGATGCAGATATCCTGACCGTCCCATGGCAGGCACTGGCCTCTTCCGCCTTCCATGACGCAGGCGTAGTGGGAACCTTTCGTGCACTTGCTTAGGTTTGTTGCAGCGATGCAATTTTCTGAAAAAAAGATGCACTTAAACTATGGCACACCTCTATAGTTCATAATAATTCGCGGGCAGCGAATGGATACATTCGGCTGCCCGATTTTGCGGGACACGGGAGGCACGAGCCGAAATGCGTCGCTGCGCCTCCTCACGGCGCTCCGCCGCTCTCCAGGACCAAGCTTTGCGCATGCGTGTCTTTTCGTGTTCGGGATAATGTCCCTCTTACTCGCTTCCGTCGGACGCGCACGACATAACCGCGAGCGGCGCAAGATGCCGCTTTGTCAACGGTCATGCCGCGCGTCTGTCTCAGCCGCAGTGATGGGTGACGAAGCTCGCGTGCTCCAGATATCGTTTATAGTAACGCCCCGTGACTATACCCTCAACTATTTGCCACAAGAGTAATCGAACTCATTGACCATCTATGGCCACTGACAGCTGAAGAGAAACAAATCGCGGCATATTATGATCTCGCCCTTTAGAGTTGTGTTTCGTTCCTTGGTGTTCGTACCTGCTGTTGCCGCAATCGTATAGGCTACGGAGCGATGACGACGTGCATTGAACTAGACATGCCCCGCGTTTTGTAAGATGTCGGTGAATCATGTATAGTGGCTTTCCTTTTTCAGTTGACTATCTGAGATCTAGTGTATTGCACTGTTTGCACCACATCCTTAATATCTGTTTCGCGACCGGCTCACTTAAGCGCTTTTCCTACGGCCAGTTATACTTCCGTTCGTCGCTGTTTGTATGATAAACTAGAATCCGAGAAACACGTTCTGGATAAACCTCATTTTGTGACGCCAGCTTCCCCCATGTGGGCGGCAAATTCAACGCGTCGGTCGGCGCTTGCTCGTTATAGTGCTATACTATCTTCGGGGTTATTGTTCGGTTTCTCGAAACATCTAAACACACAAAAGAGCAAACAATACTCCACTTCAAAGGATGTGCGCAGCATTGCGAGAACCGTGGACTTAAGTGCGTGGCTTTGTAAAGGGCTTTTCATAGTCCGAGTACCGTAAAACCCTTAAAGTTCGCGAGCCCTTAGTTATCGCAAATTTCGCGAATTGAGAAATTCGCGAAATTTAAAGGCACCCGAAAATTTCGGTTCTTATGAGTTTCAATACAGGTGTCAGGAACTCGCGAAATTTATTGGCAGCGATTATGCCCTCTGTGACCGATTCGAGGAAAATAGGGGTGCGAAAACTCGCGGTAAGTAAAGCCCCACTCCTTTCCCGCTACGCGTGACACGAGCATATAGTTGTAAACCCGAGACTGGGAATACGGACAAGGGACAAAAACAGAACGAGCGGCGGCCGAGCGCGCGCTCTCGTGTAGCGGCCGCCAGGGGCTATCTTGGAGCCGTTTCGCTCAGCTAATTAAAAAACGGAAATTTCTGTCCCTTTCTTTCGCGGTTACAGAAGCCGCTGGCTCCGCTCCATGGGATAGCTAGTGCTTTCGGATCAATAAACGTTCAGAGGAGTATCACGGGCAACTGAGAAACAAAGACAGGCCTAATTTCTCATTTCCTTTCATCTGTTTTTGACACTATTATTAGTGCAATTTGTACCACCCTGCGCTCTCGAGAATGCCTACATGCATGCAGCTCCGCAATACATTCATAGCGCAATCATCGACTCCTTTTTGGTCAGATGGACCAGCAAGGAAAGTGGGAGCTATCGTGCTTCCGTCGTTATGCACTTCCAAATAATAATCAAAAGGTGTGAGTATTTTTTTATATAGACCTTATGGTAGCTAGATTCCAAGAGCACTTGCTATCACAATTAGCTAAGCTAACTAACCTGTGGTGTCATGTAGTTGCAGAATTCTAAACGTGTTCAAGAGCGCTTTTATTTTGAAGCATTAAATAAAACATTATTTTAACGAGACTCGTTTCAGGCACCCCAGCCTTGATAACATCAATTCGCATCTTGGCCCAAATGGCTCTGGGTTTTGAGGTATGAGTTATTCGACAACTGTTGCGTGATCAAAACCGTCTCACCTGGCTTTCCTATAGCAATCTTCAAATGGCTGTCGCTCTTTGCTTCTAAAACCAGAATCCCCATGAAAGTCTCAAACGACATTCGTAGTCCTAACCAAAAGCACCTTACCTCTTCGAACAGTTTCATCTGAAAGACGAAATTGTTTTAAAAAATAGCAATATATAATGGGTACCTTTTAAAAAGTGAAAGCCGTTTACAACTCCCTGTAACGCCGAATTAGAGTGCAGCTCTTGAGGAGGAGGAGGGAAGGGTACTGAGGGGAAGGTAGACCCCTCCTCTTCCTCCTCCTCCTTCTCCTCCTCCTCCCCTCATTCTTTAATATGCTCCAGGGCGGTCACCTGACCTGGGGGGAGGGGGTCACGTGACCCCGGGGGGTGTCACGTGACTTCGGGGGGGGGGGGTCACGGGAACTCGGGGAAGGGACCACGTGACCTCCGCGGGTCCCGTGAGGTCACATTGGGGGGTCACGTGACCTTGGGGTGACCTTGGTTACGCCGACGGCGACGCCGACGCCGACGCCGACGCCGCTCAAGCCGGAAACGGGCGCCTAAGAGCTGCGCTATAAAACAGCAACAACAACTGCAACCACAACAGCAACAACAACTACAACAAGCATTTCAGGTGCAATTACGTCATCGGAAATTTCCAAGCAGTGTCCATATTACAGAATGCGACAGAGTTAAGGCTGGTGCTCACATTCATGACTGCCTACGACTACTCCGCAGACGGTCGTAGGCAGCCAGAAGGCGCTTGATTACCTTTTTTTAGCCTCTCGCTTCGTAAGCAGTCGCAAGTGTGTCGACCAGCTTTTAGAGTGAACAAGTGGTTGTCATTTTCTCTCGCGTTTCTCTCATAACTGATATTATGGCTTATTGAGCTCATCTGGTACAACAACTTGGGATTAAAATTGTGAAGGTTTTCAATATCACGACCGAGCAAAACGCAAAAAGCCGCCTAATGGCGCGTTTACACTTGCCGACCGGTGGGCGGATCCGCGCAGGCGGCGGAAAGTGGATTTCTGTGCCGGGTGGTGAAACCGACTCGTCGCTGGCGGAAAATCTGGATGTGGGTACCGCACTGATTCAGATTTTCCGACGGTGACGAGTCACTTTTGCCACCCGGCTCCAAAATCCACTTTCCACCAGCGCGGAAACGCCCGCGAATCCGCAAGTGTAAACGCACCAAAAGTCCCTTTTGCGCTTCAGGGTTACCCATACACTCCTAAAGACAAAAACAAATTGGGGTGTCTACTTTCCTGCAAAGCACTCGGGAGCACCAATCCCCGTAATTTTTGACTCTCTCAATTACTTTGCGGGGAAAATGGCGCTCGAGACTTTTTAGAGCGTACGGACACTGTATGATTGATAAATCTTGATACTTGATAAATCTGAGTTGATAGCAACTCTAGCTGTACATCATTACCAAAGTTGGTTTCCCAGGTATACACATTCGACCGTGCAAGCACTGTTGATGAGATGCACTTAGTTCTGTTGGTAAAGTGAAAAATACCGGCAATCACTTGTCTGCTAAATTATAATTGCTAAATAGAAGGGGCCAGGTCGTGTGTGCTATGCGGAGCGCAAGTTCGTCTGCTTCTTTTGCAGGGGTTGTCATGACGTCAGAACGAGGCCGAGCTCTGATTGGCTCTGATTGACGGATAGTGGGTAGACTTCAAAGCAAATAGCCTTGAGGTCTACCCACTATCCTTCATTCAGAGCCAATCAGAACTTTGCATTCTGACGTCACCATCCCCTGCAAAAGAAGCAAACCAACTTGCACTCCGCATAGCCACTGGGATTTTAAGAAGCGTAGGGTGTCGTCAGTCCCGGCCATTTTACTATCGCTCCTCATTCAGTGGGTTTGCAGCGTTAGCCAATGAGAACGCCGAAGAATAAATTAAAAATCAGAAAGTGTGAACATAGTAGGCTACACCCTGCGTTTCTTAAGTTGTCGGTGACGTGGGAAACATGGGCTCAAACTCGATGTGATCGGTGGGTTCTGTGATCATACACGGCTGATAGGAAACATCACCAGAGACACGTGGGATCATCGGAACGTATGGTCGATTGCATAAAATGATTAGGTCGAAGCTTCATAGCTATCTTCTGCTAGGCGAAATCCGACCAATAACCGACCTGCCAAACAAAAACACACAAAAAAAGAAAGAAAGATGTATTTGATTTAATCTAGTGCCTTACTCAACTCCGGAGACTTGACGACCATGGCTGATTGCAACGGAAAGCTGCCCACTGTAAAAAAAAAAAAAGAAAAAAAATAATTTTTTTTTTTTTTAAAGTTGTGTTATATTGGAGAAACGCTGTATCTACTTGCAGCATTGCCTCTAAATGAAATCCCATTTCTGAACATCGATATAAAATTCAGTCACTGGAAATTGTGAGCGTAGCTTAAACAATGTCTCACCGGCGTTAACGAGATACTGAACCGAAATTTCGAGCTCGCGAAACAAGGCTCGACGGACAGGCGGGACGCTGCAAAACCCCCAAAAAATCACTCATACAGCGATACCTCTAAGGGATCGCCGTATTTCTGGAAAATAAGTGCGCGATTGAAACACTGCCGACGAGGCTGACGAGAAGAGTCACGTCACGATTCCCATTCCCTCTCGTCCTCGCTACGTCCCGTCGAGCTGGTGAACCGAAGTGAGGTTTCAAGCCGTGCGGCGCCCCAAAATGCCTTACGTGCAAACATATATGGCTACTTTGTTTGAGTCACGTGTACATGTCTGGCCCGCACTCACGGGCGGTGGCTGCGATGCCGAGCAGGATGACGGTGGCGGCGACTCCCAAGACGCAGACCATCCCCAGGCGTGTGTCCCTCGCCATGTTTCTGATTGGGTGAGCACCAAGGCGGTCCTCGGCGTAGTTCCATACCCTGCGACAAGGGTTTCGAGATTCGTCCTGAACACGGAAACTCAACAAACTCAACGAGCGTTCCCGGATTATGATTATTCGCGACGTAGCGAGAAGTTTGAGTATCGCCACCTGGTGGACATTTTTCGCAACCCAGAGTGAGGATAGTTCTACTTCCTCTGCTGGTGAAAGCATGTGCAATGCCAATCTTTTCTGTACTATGTAAATTAAAACGTAACCGCGCGGGTAGCACGTGCACTGCCCATAGTGAGCAAAATAAAATCGCCTCTAGCGAGCCACTGTGAATAGGGAGCATTCACTGGCGGCCATAGCTCTGTGCGCGACTGCCAGGCGCGTGCTGATGGCGAGCTTCCATAGTTCTTTTGCAAAATGCATTCCACGCCGTCGAGGCTGCCTGTCTTAGCAGCCTATTAATGTGAGCTCCTTCCGAGTACGCGCTCTAAACAATGCCCTCAAATATGGCGGCCAGAGAATACCGCCTATCCTCCGGTTTACATTAAATGGACCATAAAACGAGTTTTCAACTTCTTCCTCCTTAGCTTTAATCCTCGGCCCGAAAAGCAAAATGAGAAGTCACATGGCCGTGACGTGCTTGGGCACCGGATGGGACAAGATCGAGCTTCTTCCTCGATTTCTAAGCACACCGCGGAACTTGTCATTCGCAAGTTAGGATAAGTGCCGTCACGCCGTGACTCATTGGCCACGAACGCGAATTCGAATATTCGTCAACGATTACTGATTGTTGGCGAGCACATACGTCCGAGTGACACAGCGCTCGTGTACAATGCGTGGGCCGCACTCTAAAAAAAGCCTGTGCGTCTACTTCCACGCACAACACCCGGAGAGTCAATCAGCGCAACTTAGGGAGGCAGCTCAGCGTATGCCAATGCCTAAACATATGTTTAGAACAAAAAAAAACGCAGTCTGAGTTGTGACATTAAGCAATGCAAGCGTGACGTTTTGTATTGCCTAATGTCACAACTCAGACTCCGTGTTTCGGTTTAAACATATGTTTCCGCACCGTCATTCGCTGAGCTGCCTCCGCAAGTTGCGTTGATTGGCTCTCCGAGTGTTGTGCGGGAAAGCAGACGCACAGACCTTTTTTTTTAGAGTGCGGGTTCTGTTGATGGGCACCGCGGGTGCATCATGGGGGAAAGGAGGTAAGAAATAGACCGATATATTTAATATTTTTCGTACCGAAATGCTGGATTTTGGCTTTCTACAGTCTAAAAAAAGCCCGTGCGTCCACTTTCCTGCAAAACACTCTGAGAGCCAATGAACGTAACTTACGGAGGCAGCTCAGCGAATCACAATGCGGAAACATATGTTTAGACCAAAACACGCAGTCTGAGCTGTGACATTAAGTAATGCAAAACGTCATACTTGCATTGCTTAATGTCACAACTGAGACTGCGTTTTTTGGTCTAAACATATGTTCGGCATCGTCATTCGCTGAGCTGCCTCTGTAAGTTGCGGTAATCGGGTCTCCGAGGCATGGTGCGAGAGAGGACGCACGGGCTTTTTTTAGAGTGTACGTTCTCTTTCGTTTGGTCGACCAAACGATTGGTAAAGTGTAAATTTCGGATTTAAAATCGCATATCCCAGCCCCAAAAATCATTTCGAGGACCCTTCAAGTTCGACCGCTGCCAGAGCTACCATCCGACGGAGGAAATCTAGCAGCGCCAAAAGTGCATAGTCACGGCGCTTATGGCCTTTTTTCGTTTGTTATAACCGGCTGAACCAATCGTGCACAGCGAATGCGGCCTGATCCTGAGCTTTTTTCTTCGCAGTTTAGTCGGTGAGAGTAAACGAGGCAGGAGGGCCTCACCGCTCATTCACACTGGAAGCGGGTCCGCGTTCGCAAAGCGGTTGCGAATGCGGTTGTTTAAAGATCCAGTACAATTGCACGCGCACTCGATGACATCAAGAGCGCGTGCAATTGTACTGGATCCTTATACAACCGCGTTCGCAACCGCTTTACGAACGCGGATCCGCTTCCGGTGTGAATGAGCGGTTAGAGAGATGAACTGGCAGCTGAAAGTGCCGCCATGTTGTACGTGTTTCACCACTACACACGTGACCTTATAATTTTACGTCTAGATTTTAACGAAGTAGTGAGCACAACTAATTGCGTATTGATCTTGAATAATAGTACCGACAAGATAGGTTATGTTTCGTTTGTTTTAAATCCAAAATGTGCTTTTACGATAAAAACTCGGGCAGCTTCGCAATGGCTCCACTAGATTCCGTCAGCCGCGGTGCTGTATTTCGGGTTTTTATCGGAGCTAGACACTGTTCTATGCGCCTAAGAGTATCGAAAAAATAGTTTATCATGTATTTTACAGTGATCGCGATATAAATCTCGGCTTAGTTTTACGTAAAAGCCTCAGGATTTGGTGCGGTCACGTGCTTAGTGGCCGAAATTGCACAACATGGCTTCAACCAAGTGGGGCTCACTTTTGCCTGGTGAACGGGATACCAGTTTATCGCTGTAAGCCCTTTCACCTAGTGAGCGATAGTTAACGAAAAAAAGACGACGTGCGACGTGACGAGGCACGTTTGGCGCGACTTGGTTGGCTGCATCTGATCCTAGCGTCGGCTAGGAGCTTCCCTAACAATAGGGAGTATTATTGGGGAAGAATGCAATGTGAATAGTTCTCGTGTTTTGACACGATTCTTGAACTTTATTATTATCTCTACTGTTTCTGATCTCGGCACCCCTGTACGACCAACCCCAGGCTGCCCATTAATTCCCAACTTTTTGGGACATCAACACCTCGGCGCATGCATTAAAATGAGAATTTCGACTGAACAACAACAATAATGGCAATGTTCCCCGGTAGTAATTTAGATGACAGTCGTACAATATTAATACGCATTAATTAAACTTTCGGACGGGTATAACATTTATTCCACGGCTCTACAATTTTTTTTTAGTGAATCCGATAGGCATACATTTACAAAATATTCTTTTGCCGACAAGATGTCGTAATGTTCCCAAGGACAGTAATTGCCTGGGTGTCACAGAACGCAAATAAGTTAAAATTTTGATATTGTCACGGGTGGGGACTAATAAACAAGAAATAAACAGGAATAAATAAACGTTTAATGTGGCGAACTTGTGCCAAAAATAAAAGGGTACACAAGAAAGATAACAACAGAGCGTCGCGGGCGTCGAAGGCGGCGAAGCAGCACGATCAAACGCTGAGGCGAGACTGACTTGACAAGGTCGCGGGCGGCCTCTTATCTAGAGTGCGTCGCTATCTCGAAGATTCGGCGAAAGCGGCTCGAGCGTCGCGTGATCGGGCGAGAATGAACACGCACTTTCTAGAAAACAAAAGCAGGAATAAATGATAGAAGTTACGTGCGGTACATGAATAAACGAGAACTTTCTAGAGGTCCGTGACCGAGCGTTACTTTCTCAGCCCTGGGCGCGGCATTATCCCCCCCCTTTAAAAGTGCATCGTCCCGATGCAGCACAAAAACGGAAAACAAAAAACAAAAGGACAGCAGAATTGCTAGCCGGAGTTCACAGTCCACAGTTCACTCGTCGACGAGAGTGGAGAGTCCTATCGTTCGTAATACGGCTTCAGCCGGACGACATGCACCACCTCGGGTCGCGGCTGACGTCTTGCAGATGGGCGCGTTCCGTCGGGTAGAACTTCGTAGTTCAGATCGCCGAGGCGTCGGATGATCTTGTAGGGCCCAAAGTAGCGCTTCAGAAGTTTTTCGCTGAGACCGCGACGACGAATCGGCGTCCACACCCAAACTCTGTCTCCGGGCTGGAAGTGGACGTCGCGGCGACGAAGATTATACCGGCGAGCGTCGACATGTTGCTGGTCTTGAATTCGTAGTCTGGCTAGCTGGCGGACCTCTTCTGCCCGTTGAGCAACCACCTGGGCGTCATCGCTCCCGTCGTCGACTGACTCGTGCGGCAACATAGAGTCTAGCATAGTCGTCACCGCCCGGCCATACACCAGCTGGAAGGGCGTCACTCCTGTGGTCTCTTGCACTGCTGTGTTGTAGGCGAACGTGACGTAGGGCAGCACTTCGTCCCAGGTCTTGTGCTCCACGTCGACGTACATAGAGACCATGTCGGCGATTGTTTTGTTGAGCCGCTCCGTCAACCCATTGGTCTGCAGATGGTATGCCGTTGTTCGACGGTGTTCGGTGTGGCTTAGACGCAGGATCTCTTGGGTCAACTGTGCCATAAACGATGACCCTCGGTCTGTGATCAGTACTTCGGGGGCGCCATGAAGGGGGACGATGGACTCGATGAAGAACTTGGCGACTTCGACAGCAGTCCCCGAAGGAAGGGCTTTCGTCTCGGCGTAACGAGTAAGATAATCGGTGGCGACGATTATCCAGCGGTTCCCCATCGTCGACGGTGGAAAAGGACCCAGCAAATCCATTCCAATTTGCTGGAAGGGCTTGGTTGGCGGGGTAATCGACTGAAGGAGACCTGCTGGCTTTGACGGTGGTTTCTTGCGTCGCTGGCACTCATGGCACGATCGTGTGTAGAGGTGGACGGTCTTCGGAAGCTTTGGCCAGTAGTACTTGTCACGAATCCGGGCAAGGGTCCTGCTGTAGCCGAGATGTCCGGCCGTTGGGTCCTCGTGGCACGCTTGAAAAATTTCTTCTCGGAGGCTGGCGGGGACAACCAGTAGCCAGGGGGTTTCGCTGGTTCCGAAATTCTTTCTGAAGAGCACGCCTCGCCGCAGGACAAAGCTCGGTAGGTCCCGAGAAAAGACCCGTGGGACAGAGCGTCCTTGACCTTCGAGGCTGTCGATTACGGAGCTAAGTTCCGCGTCGTAGCGTTGCAGTGCCCTCATGTCGGTAGCATTAACTGCGCCTAGAAAACGGGCGTCGTCATCGTCGTCCGCGCCGGAGATTGGAGGTTCGACTGGAGCCCTAGACAAACAGTCAGCGTCATTATGCTTGCGGCCAGACTTATGCACAATGGTTACGTCGAATTCCTGCAGTCGAAGGCTCCAGCG